CATAAGCATCTAAAAATCCGTCTAAGAGTATGAAAAAGACTACACAGTCTAGTCCAAAGCTAGTACAAAGGAAAGTAAAGGTAGGAAGGAGAAACACTGGGTTGCGAACGCCGAGCAGTTACCTAGTCAACTCCAAACAGCCTGCTGGAAGGCAATAATCCCTCGCTAGCATGACCCGAGACTCTTGGATTTGCACACAGGGTGCAGAGAGTAATGTGAGTTCGCCAACTCAGTAAGTAATAAAAGTAAAGGCAGCTAAGAGATAAGAAAAACATGTAAAACATAGCATAATGCTACAACAAAACAGTATAAAACCAGAACAATGCAATAAGGCAGCAAAAGCTTGTAAAAATACCTTAGTTCAGTAAAAACCTCTTTAAAACATCTTTTAACAATTCAAACGAATGCAGAAAAACAGGGAGAAAAGGATAGAAACACAAATCAGCCCCTCGGGCTATCTCACAATCACTCGTATCAGCCCCTCGGGCTATAACATGGAACAACATCAGCCCCTCGGGCTATATCACATCTCGCACTAGGTACCCGCACTCACTGGGGGTGTACAGACTCCGGGAGGGGCTCCTTACAGCCCAAGCGCAATATCAAGTCATCTCATAGCATAATCAAACAGGCACTCAGCCTTATAATAAGCCACTTCGTGGCATAATAAATCAGGCCCTCGGCCTCATAATCATGAATCAGTATGTATCCTCACAATACAGGCCCTCGACTTTACTCAGTCATAAATATCTCAAAGCCACTCGGGCACAGTAAAAATAGGATGCTCAACCCAAAATATCATTAAAATGTAAAAAATAGAGTAAATATGGTTGAATTATGAAAATAGTAGAATACAACATGACCGAGTACAAATATGAAGTCAAAACAGTGAGGAATAGTAGCAAAAATCTCCTAAAGGTCCAAAATAGTTGGCACGAGGCCCAAATATGGCATTCAACCCAAAATATGATGTTAACAAATAGTTTTCAACCAAATACGCGGTTAAACAGTCATACAGGATGGACTAAGTCACAATTCCCAACGGTGCACGACCCCACGCTCGTCATATAGCGTGTGTGTCACCTCAAAGTAGCACCACGATGTATAATCCGGGGTTTCATACCCTTACGACAACATTTACAATCATTACTTATCTCTATTCGGTCCAAACTCTAGCCCGCGATGCCTTTGCCTCTCACCTCGGCTCCACTCACGTCAAATCTAACCAAAATCAGAATCATGACATCAAAATATGCTAAGGGAACGAAGCCCATGCGAAAGTAATCAAATTATAATACAAATCCCGAAATTAACCAAACCTGACCCCCGGGCCCATTTCTCGAAATTCGATAAAAATTACATCAATAAACTCCTTATCCTTCCATTAGTTCATCCATATCAAAAGTACCAAAATCCGACAACAAATGACCCCTCAAATCCTTAATAAAAGGTCTCCAATCTCAAGCCCTAGTTTCTTCAATATTTACCCACAAATTTCCATAAATTTCAAGCTTAATCAATGAAATAACACCATAGGAACGAGTTTTATGTTAAAAAAATCTTACCTCAATGAAGTTCCCTCTGATTCCCTCTTAAAAATCCCCCAAATAGCTCCAAAATCAATTTCAAATGGTGAAGAAAGGCTAAAAATTGCGAAGGAGGATTTATATACTTTCTGGCCCAGGAATACCGCACCTGCGGCCTCAAACACGCACCTGCGTGACCACACCTGCGGTCCAGAGGGTCACACCTGCGGAAGTCACTAATCCGCCCAAAACCGCACCTGCGGCCAAATACCCGCACCTGCACTATCACAGATGCGCTTAGCTCTCCGCATCTGCGGCTCCTGCCCTTCACGTCCTTGGCCGCATCTTCGGTCCCCAATCCGCAGGTGCGAAAATGATAGAAGCAGAAAATCTGCAGCTACACCCAAACTCTAACTCTTCCGTCAACCATCCTGAGGCCCTCGGGACCTCAACCAAACACGCCATCAAGTCATATATTACTATCCACACTTATACCAATATCCAAAACACCTAAAATAACATCGAATCAACTAAATGGCATCGAATTCAAGCCTAAGATTCCAAAAACTTACGAATTTCGCTTTTGATCAAAAAGTCTATCAAACCTCGTCCGAATGACCTGAAATTTTGCACACACGTCACAAATGACACAACGGGCCTACTGCAACTTTCGGAATTACATTCCAACCCTTATATCAAAATCTCACCTATCCACCGAAAAACACCAAAATTTCAATTTCGCCAATTCAAGCCTAAATCTACTCCGGACCTCCAAAACACATTCCGATCATGCTTCTAAGTCCCAAATCACCTGCCAAAGCTATCCGAACCATCAGAATTCACATCCAAGCCCCTTTTTCACATAAGTCAATATCCGATTGACTTTTCCAACTTAAGCTCACTCAAAAGAGACTAAGTGTCTCAAACCTTATCAAAACCTCTCCGAACTCGAGCCAACCAACCCGATAACACTTAATACAGATAAACAAATCAATAAGAAGCAGAAATGGGGGAAACAGAGTTATAACTCATGAAACGGTCGTCTGGGTCGTTACGCTTGGCTTTAAGGCTTTATGCAAGAAACCACTTGGAAATAGATATAACATTTAAAAAATAAAAAGACTCATGACTATTAATTGTAAATGGATTTTCAAAAAGAAAATTTTGACTTTGCATTATAAATAATACCAACAACTTCCTGTTGTGCCGGATGTTGTTGACAATGGACAACCATATCGATATGTGCATTTCGATATTCTCCTTTTATATTTTATCTCTTTTACTTATATCATGTTATGAAATAAATTGAGTGTTGTTTGTATTGTATGTTGTTATGTTGGTCGAAATTTCCTTATTGGTTAACTACTTGGTGTGCATTCCTTTTCCTACCTGTTTGGGTCTTTTACTAATGTACTGAATTAAATCTTGAGTGAAATTGTATTTGATTTGGGTGTAGTTTATTTCGTACAATTTAACTCCTCTTTCATTTTCATCTTCTTTGACAATAACTATATTATGGCATGATCCTCGTAAGGGTAATGTTGTTATGATTAGTGTTTATCCAGTGTCTTGGAAAGTTAAAGAATTTTCGAGCTTTTCATGTAACATACACGATGTTTAGAGACAACTGCCAGACTTTTTATTGCCTATGATGGTTTGAGGATGTGTAAACGTGTATACGGCTTTTGGGGGTTGACGATACTCCTTTGGATGGTTTAACGCGACTAGCAGACCACGTCGTGCTCAATCAAATAATGGACACTAACTACGATTTGGATTGTCTCCCCGGCTCAATGGAAAGACAACCCCGTTCTACACTTCATCAAGACGAAAATCATGCCTTGTCTATTCCTTCAAATACCATTTGTCTTTTCCTCAGCCGACCAACCCAGGCCTGTATAGGAAATCCCAATAGTAAAATTTGGCATGAGATCAAAGGTTTGATTGAGAGCTATAAGGTCTAAATATTCTTGATAATATTGAAGGTAGTAAGAGTTTACGGTGGGTGGGAAAGCAGGAGGGGACCCCTGTGGTTAGACTAACTAGCATCTAAGGTTAGCGAGGTTCCTGCTATGGTGAAGTATCTTATTCCCGTGTTTGATCTCTTCCATCACTGCCTGACTCGTTGTCACCTATGTTGAAGAAAGGTTTGGAACCCTGTAGAGAATGAAGAGGGGCCAAGGGTCTTCCTCTCAACAATGCTTTTCGAGGCTCCCCCTTGAATAAGTAAGGCCCCGTTAGCCTGGACGAAGATGGGGATAAAGAGTAAGGATTGAAGCCCCTTTAGCTCTGCCAGGCACTGGACATGGGTTAGCTCTGTAAATGTGTAGAGCCAAGTGTAGNCTCTTTTTTTGACCTATATTCCTGATTACGAATCAAGAAGCCTTTATCAACAAGAGTGAGTTCTTCCTTTCGTGAAATTAGGAAAATAAAACGAATTTCTTCTTCTTGTCTTAGGTATATAATTTGAAATTCAAATATAGATAATAGAGTTTTGTATCTTTCTCTATCTCCCGAAAAACCATTTTAGCTAAAAATTCATGTTGGGTCGGATTCGAACGAATCTTTCGATAATCTGTAAGAAACTCTTTATCTATTTTTAGAAAATTAGAAGACAAGAACAAAAGACAAAGAAATGAAAAAAAATAATAAAATTTATATGATACATATCTTTCTCAGGTAGGAGATGAATAAGTCCATTTATTTAGTTCTACAGTTCTACATTCTTTACACTTATTATACCTACTCAGTTAGATTTAGATATATAGATACTAAGAATTTCAAATTCTTCAAATTCTATTAATAATAAATATTATACAATTTCTAATTAGTAATCAGAATTCAAATTCTTAATTTAATAATAATTATTACAAGATATCTTAGCATGAGTAGAAACCGCGANGACACCAACGAGTAAAATCTCCTTGTGCTTCAGGACCCCATAGTAACAACAACGAATGTGCTAAACTATTAGCAGGAGTAGAAACCGCGGCAGTTAAGAAATTGCAGCCTTCCAAATAAGAACTGGCCAATCCATGGGTATACCATGAAGTTACAAAGGTTGTACCTGTGAACCAACCCCTACAGCGAAATAGGCACATGGAAAGAGCAATAGACCGGACCAGCCTACAAAAATGAAACGGTCCTTCCGTAACCAGCCATCCATAATATCAAATAAATCATTTTCGTCTTTGGTAAACTTACCAAGGGCTACGAGCCCGTTTGGACATAAAAAAATTCATTTTTTTTTCAAATTTTTTTCGAAATAAGTGTTTGACCATAAAATTTCCAATTTTCACTTGAAGATGGATTTTGAAATTTTTCGAAAATTTGAAAAACACAAAAGAGCTGTTTTTCAAAATTTTCACTCAATTCACTCACAAAACTTCAAAAACAACCCAAAATAATATTTATGTCCAAACACAACTCTAATTTTCAAAGGTCATTTTCACTTTTTTTTTTGGGGGGAATTTTACAATTCCTATGTTCAAACGCCCACTACAATTGTATAATTTGACCCGACCCACAACCCGGTTTCCCGTCAAAAACCCAGCTAAAGCCCTCGCTAGAGAATTTCACTGAAGCAGCAAACAATCAATCTCCGAATTCGAATCACTGAATCATGTACGGCGGTGGTGAGTACCAGTTACTTCCTTTCTCGAGTGTTAAATACTTCTATTTACGGCTTTAACATTTTTCTTAGTATAAGCACAAGAATTCAGCGCGTTTTTTTGTTTGCATTTTTATTTTTTGGGTCTACAGATGAAGTATCAGCAATTGTGATAGATTTGGGTAGCCATACTTGCAAAGCTGGTTACGCTGGTGAAGATGCTCCTAAAGCCGTTTTCCCTTCTGTAAGTTATAAAGTTTTTGTCCTTTTTAGGTTGCAAATTAATAATGCAGCTTTCAGTAAGATGTTCCAAATAGTTCTTTCGGTCCAAAGTTCAAATTTTTTGAAAGCATAATTACAAAACAGTAGCTTTTTATAGTTACGTGTACCAGCATTTTAAACGTTATATACATTATCAGGTTATTTAATAGACAATTACAGGTAACTTTCATCTGTCTATAGCAAGTTTGAGGTGGTAACCTCGAAAAGAAAGTACATAGCTTGTTACAACTGGTGAAATTGTGGAAATAATGTAAAAGAATTTTACACTGATAGAGTGATAGTTTAAATCCATGGAATTTTGGGAAATGCAAGTCTGAACACCAGATTTGACTGCTAAAGATGAAGCTTCTAAAGTTTAGAACTTTGGTCATAGGCAGCAACTTTGAGCTTTCATGGCATTTAAGATGCAATTGAGGTAAAAGTATAGGGTAGTAGTAAATATGGATTGACATGGCTTTAGCACGCTACTATTTGCCTGGCATTCAATTTTTATTATTATTTTGGGGATTACTCTCCTGTTATTTTCTTTTTATATAATCAATTATCTATATCTCTTGTTTTTTCAAGATTAGTTCAAATCTTTTCCTCGTTATTGTTGGTGTCCTTTTGAATTCTTGAATATCATTAGCAGGTTAGCCACTCACAAACTAACCCGCCTGGGTTGTGATGTCTATATCATTATTTATTTCCCTTCATATATGCTCATATTCAGATTCTCTTTCAACTAGTCACCTACATTGTATTATTGCTGTGTAAAGTTGTCTTGATTTTATCATCTTTTAAAGGTTGTTGGATCAGTTGATCAAATGGAAGTTGATAATCCTGATAATCCGGAGGATAATTCGGGATCTGCTCCTGACTCTAAATCAAAGGGTAAGCGGAGATTGTATGTTGGATCTCAAGCCTTGGGATTTCGCCGCGATCTCATGGAGGTCAGTTTGCAAGTTTATATAGAATTGCCTTGTGATGCCATTTCCTTATCTCTGTCATCTAAGATATTGCGTTATCTTGGGCAGGTGCTATCGCCCATCAAGGATGGGATGGTTGTGGACTGGGATATTGTAGAGAACATATGGGACCATGCTTTCAGGTAATTGGCCCTTCCTTTCATTGATATGTTGAAACAATTTCCCATGTAACATTAGGGCAACAATGCTACTCTAAATTTTTTCAACTTAGCTAAGTGGGGATTTTCAACTCGAAGCAATATGGCACAATTGCATGAGTATGCAGTATTATATTTCTCAGTCTCCAAATCTTATCCAAAAAAAAAAAAGGCAGAAGAAGTCTACTACCCAGTTGCCAGGGATATTTGCAGCACAATATAGTTCGTGGATTTTCTTTCAGACTGCAAAGTGACTGTTTATATATAGCGGCTAGTATGTAGTGGCATACACTTTGCTTATTGTTGCATGGTCGTTCTGTGTATGTCACATCCTCCCCTCCTAGTCTGGGAGTACCCTGGAGACCCTCACTGAGGGATCTTACCACCTTAAGGTGATATACCGCTGATCTTGTTGCTCTGGCACGTTTGCTTTTGATTACCGAGTGCTATGAAACATATTGTACAATTATTATGTGAGACAGACAAAATCTAAATAATTTCCTTTTAATCTCATTTAGTTTAGTTGATATTGGCCCATTTCACAATTTTCCTAATAGCTGAAAGGATAGTTTTAGGCAATTAATAATATCTAGGACATTGTAGAGTTTGTTGCAGGGTTGTTTTAAGAAATTATTCCTAATGGCCCCCAGAACACCATTAACTTTCAAGATTGGACTTCATTACTTTTTTCCCCTTCTTTTAGTTTTACTACTTGGATTACTGGCACTGTCCTCTTTTATACTATGTTGCTCGGAACCTTCAATTATCGACGGCACTGGAGTCGGCACTGGAGTCGGCACGACAGGACAGACCAGTACAGTTACAGGGTTCGTACTTGGTTCTGTCAACATTTGGTGGATACTTTTACAAAGGAAAGGTGAAACTGAAAACCAAGAAGACAGAGATGAAGCACCAAGGAGAAGAGGAAAAAAACAGTAAAGAACAGTTGGAGACATCATTTGAAGCCACCATTCAACTCAAACAGAGGAGTGCATGCTAGGGTTACTGTCTGCTGAAGCCGCCACTGAACTCAAAGGAGGAAATGCCCTAGGAGGGTATCTTTGCCAATTATTGGTGGACTGGGCCTTTACAAAAACACCTGGAAAAACGTATTCCACAAAAATACTGTGATTTAACTTGGTCACAAACTCAGTTCATTGTATATTCATAGACAAGATCCATAAGAACAACATTAATTGGGCTAACTTTAATCATTTAACAGTACTTACAAATTATTATTCAACATAACTTAAATTTAATTATACAAAAATGGATTTTGGCGAAAATTTATCTAAAAGTTGAGTTATTTTTGTATGTTCTAAATAACTAGTAATTGTTATGCATATTATATTTAAACATTTATTAGCTGTATCCCAGTATGTGCACCCCTACTGTTATCCATATCCGGAATATTAGAATTTATGAGATGACGATCTGACCTCTAAATCCATACATGTGTCAGACACTTGCACCTGTATCCGGGCGATATAGCTTCTGTATTAATGTAAATTAGCTGTATTAGTGATTCACCCCAAAACGGAACATGCTTATTCTACAGACACTGGCACTGTATTTTTGTAGATGGGGCTGCATTGTTTTTCACTTTCTTTGATCACTGAAAATACCTGCTTTATATAAAGATGATGCTGTATTTACTTATCAAAAAAATAAAAATAAAATAAGGATGATGTTATATTACTTGTTCATTTTGTAGAAAGGTAAAAACTGTCTTCTTTATATGCTTTTCCTGCGACATCTTTTTTGCTTTTTCCCGTCCTTTGTCATTTGGTTAAGTTGATGTGGCTCTTAGACTGTTGAAAGAACCTTTTTACCCTGTATACTTACATTCACTTACAGGGAATGCTTACTGATCGATCCAAAGGAGCATCCAATGTTACTTGCAGAGCCCTGTTCGAACACTCAGCAGCAAAGGGAAAAGTGAGCAATCCAATCTGTCTTTTAGCAGTCTCATTACCTTACATTATTCTAAGAATCATGCCTTTTGTCTTTTGGGCCTTGTATAATTATTAGGTACAAGATTTCAAGCCTTTATTTTTGCTGAATATGCTGGTCATTTTATTTAATGAAACTCTTGACCTTTCTAAAATATTTTTGCTGGCATATCTATTTTTGCGTCTTATGTTAATTCTGTTTTACAGTGATAAAGTTTTATTTGGAAGACTAGGAAAATACAAGGGCGAAGCATGCTCTTAAGTAAAAATTACGTATTTATTAATCCTGAGGCCCTACGCCTTTGCTGCTTCAAAGGGCAAACAATGAGCACTGCAACAGCTTCCTGTCATATTAAAGTCATAAGCACCAAAAGCTTATTATAATTTAATGAGAAAACAATATATATCCCATGAAACAATCTAATCTTGTCCTCAGCTAAAAACAAAGAGAATACTTTAGCAGTCTGTGACTATACTGTATTTCTACGAGAAGGCACAGCTTNCGAGAAGGCACAGCTAGCAGTGAGTGAAGGGAGGAAGAACAGCAAAACACTGTAAGAGGATTAGTTATTAGAAGGTCATGGATATTCAATGGATGAATAAGAACCCGAGCGGCTGATACCAGTGATGTAGCACCAGAAAGGGAGTAAGGTGGAAGAGAAGGGGAAAATATGAGAAAGGGGAGAAGGAGAGAAAAACTGAAAGAGAGAAAGAAGAATTGAAGAATCCGCAAAAGAGAGATTTTACAAGTAGTTCATCTGTAAAATCTCTTTAGAGTGATTCTTGTGGCGTTGATTGAGCATTTTGACCTCTCAAAATAGCCCTCTGAGCTTTCTGCACAGTTAAAGAACAAATTTGGGTCAAGTTTTTGGTCAAAGCTAGGTCCTTCCACCTTGACCTTTTCTGTGAGGTCACTGTAGTCCTCATAGCTATGCCTGAAATTCCTATCATGGTTGTCTCTTAAGTGAGGATTGTCAAGTAATGGCTGGTTTACTGATGAACTGCTCATTTGCCGCTGAATGGATCCCAAGTCTCAAGATAGAAGCCTTACCTTTTTTAATGTGTAATACCTTGTGAAATTACTCTATTCGAAATGTTTCTTCCCCTTAATGAGAAGAGTCTACTGTGAAAGACTTTGTCCATCGTGAACTGGAATAAAGTAAAGAAATTATTGTTCAAAGCTAAAAATGAAGTTTAACTATTGAGAGAACATTATCATTTAGATGTTTTCTCTTAAGGCAATCTGGTGCCTGCATTATTATGTCATCTGAATGCAAATTGAAAATTACAGTGGACTGATAATTTAATTGACAGGGCTGCAGAGATAATGTTTGAAAAGTACCAAGTTCCTGCATTGTTTTTGGCCAAAAATGCTGTAAGTGCCTTTCTCAATTCTTGAAATTTTAATTTTTAGCATCTTAACAGAACCTTCATTGTGCTGTTCAGTAATGAAACTTTCACTTTTACCTGATTACGAAAAAGAAAAATACTGTATCTTCATAATGTTACAAGATCATTCCACTCTGGTTGCTAATTATCTCAGGATACTGTTACTGCTAGGTTCTCACATCTTTTGCATCAGGACGTGCGACTTCTTTGGTCGTTGACAGGTAGGAGCTTATTTACTAACTGGCTATCAGCCTTGAATTGCTTCTTTGACTTGTCTTGTCAATAAAGTTCTTTTGCAGAGATATTTAACCTCCCAGCGATAATAGCATTCATATTATCTGCATTGCGTGCTTCTGTACCTTCCTTTTTAGTGAATATAAATTATTGGAAAGATTTCATGATTTCTGGTGCATGATGGCATATTAGTTTCAGTTTCTCTTCATCTTGAATTGTTAAGTTTCTCTTCATCTTGAATTGTTAAGTTTCTACACATTTACATCAGTAGCGTCTGGTTTGATTCATAACTGTATGATGAGCGAATGATGAAAAATTAGAGCTCTTCAAGTAGGTTAGCGTCTTAACTTTTAAGAATCTTGCAAGAATTATGTTTGAGAATATGGAGATATGATATCAAACTTTATAATTATATTAAGGATATGTGAGAATTGTAGTAATGATATAAAACTTTCGCTTAGATTAGGTAGATGGTATTCTGTAATTTTTTATTCTTTTTCAATCTCTACTATTGCATAGTACACCCGTAGTACTCTTCCATTTCAATCATCCTTATTTAATTCTTTGTGATATCCCAACAACAACAACAAACCCAGCTTAATCCCATACGTGGGGTCTGGTGAGGGTAGTGTGTACGTAGCCTTACCCCTACCCTATAAAGGCAGAGAGGTTGTGTCAAATCGACCCTCGGCTTAAGGAACAATAAAAATAAAGCAACAAGCAATAGAAGCAGTAATGTAATACGGTAATGGAAGCGAGTGACATAACAAGTAATATAGAACCAGGAATAAAAGAATACAAGAATAGTACTAATACTACTCGTAAACCTAGGAGAAACTCACAACTACTTGTCAACCTACAACCTTAATCCTCGACCTCCACACCTTCCTATCGTGAGTCATGTCCTCGGTAAGGTGAAACAGTGACATGTCCCGCCTAATCACCTCCGGTGTTAGAAAAAGCGGTCGCTTAAAGCGAGAAGCGAAGTGAACTGACCCCTTCCTCGCTTCTGCCATGTGAAGCGACTCAGGTAGGAAAAAGCGACCGCTTCCCACTAAAAAGCGAGAAGCGACCGAAGCGAGCGCTTCTTTGTTTTAAACAGCTGCCAGCCTATTTAATTAAAAAAGAATGGTTTTCAGTGTTCTTTTATTAAACACAACCAGCAGAGCATCTGAGAGTCTCTGCGACTAGGGTTCTTCAACAGAGATTCCAGCAACAGGTATGTGATGATTTTCTCTTCTTCTTCTGATTTCTTCTCATCTTCTTCTGACTTCTTCTTTTTTTTTTCTGACTTCTTCTTCTTCTTCTCTTACTGTTTCAACGTCCAAATAGTAGCGAAATGCTGGCGAATTTTTTTTAACCTTCGGTTCTTTCCCAGAATCCAGCAACAGAAATTTTTTTTCACCTTCAATTCTTCTTTCACAGTTTCTTAGTTTTTATTGCCTTTTCTTATGTGTTATGTAGTTGTTCTTTTAGTGGCACCAAAAGAAGATAGGAAAGACCCTGCTTGGGCTTACTTTACAAGAGTTAGCGAGACCAACAAGATGACAATTAGACGTCTTTTTTGTGACAAGATTTCAAATGGGGGAATCTATCGTCAAAAAGCGCATCTAATCAGTGGTGATCCAAATGTCGCATCTCGCTTGACAATCTTGTAGAAGAATATGATGCTCATTTTGTGCTTTAATTGATGCTACTCTTTAGTTTTTACATTGAAGTATTGAACATTAGCTTACAGTTACATGTGTTGTCTATGCAGTATTTATTTTAATATATATATTTTTAAATTCCGCTTCACTTCAAAAAAGCGAGCGCTTCGCTTCTCGCTTCTCGCTTTAAGCGAAATGGGGGTTGTCGTTTTTCCTCGCTTCACGCTATTTTTAACACTGATCACCTCTCCCCAATACTTTTTTGGCCTACCCCTGTCCTTGCTCTCCTATTACTTTGGCTGGATTATTCCTAACTGCATATTTACAATACAGGCGTGGTGATCAGTTGGACCTTTGATTAATTAACATCTCTTTTTTTTTTTTGATTGACCTCCTCCTTTCTTTAATTCACAGGCACAGGAGGTCAAATTCCGATTGTTGTGAAAGTTACTGAATGAATCTATTTCATTCTAATTCGATCTAAGAAGAAAAAAATCACGCTCTAAGCCCGCCATGGTCAGTCTCTCACACCTTCTGACTAGAGCATCTATGTCTCTCCTCTTCACATGCCCAAACCATCACAGCCTCGATTCCCACAACTTGTCCTCCACAGAGGCCACTCCCACCTTGTTCCTAATAACTTCATTCCTAATCTTGTCTTTCCTGGTATGTCCACACATCCATCTCAACATCCTCATTTCAGCTAGTTTCATCTTCTGGACATGGGACTTCTTGACGGGCCAACACTAAGCTCCATACAACATAGTTGGTCTAACCACCGCCCTGTAGAACTTGCCCTTAAGTCTAGGTGGCACATTCTTATCGCATAAAACCCCCAAAGCTAGCCTCCATCTCATCCACCCCGCTCCAATGAGATGAGTAACATCCTCGTCAATCTCCCCGTTGCCTTGGATTATAGACCCAAGATACAAACTATCTCTTTTGGGAATGACTTGAGTATCAATCTTCACTTCCACTTCTGCATAATGCATCTTTTCTTAATAGTAACTTTTGCTACACTCACAAAGTTAGATACACAGGAGTATAACAGGAAAGCTATGAGGGATAGACAGATCTCAATAGAGTTTTGGAAGTGCCTTGTAAGGGTTGTAGAGGTTGGTTTAGTATGATCTATCATTATCAAATTGTCCAATGTTGTATTAAGGAGCAGAAAGATACCAAAATAGACGTCATAAATAAAGAGTTAGAGGAAATTGCAAAAGCTGAAGAGATTTCATGGAGACAAAAATCTAGGTGTATTTGGCTTAGCAAGGTGATAGAAATACTAAATTCTTTCATAAACAAGCCAATGCACACAGGAGGTATAATACTATCGATAGAATTCGAATTCATCGTAATTTGGTGGGGGAGGAAGATGTAATCAGAGATCATATTCTCAATTTTTATAAAGAACTTTTCACTGAGACAGAAAAGTGGAGACCAAAATGGAGTGATGAAGAGTTGATTAAAATTTCAGAGGAGGAAAAGATCTGGCTTGAAGAACCTTTCACTAGTGAAGAAGTGGAAGCTGTAGTTAAGATGTTTGAAGGAGATAAAGCCCCAGGCCCTGATGGTTTCAACATGTATTTCTTTCAAAAATGTTGGAACACTGTCAAAGAAGATGTGATGAAAACAGTTGAGACATTTTGGCAAGAAGGCACCTTTGTGAGTAGTCTAAATGCCACATTCATTACTCTTATTCCCAAAAAGAAAGGTGCAGAGGAAACCAAAGATTTCATTTTTATTACTCTTTTGGGTAGTGTATATAAGATCATAGCTAAATTGTTGGCTGGAAGGCTAAAAAAGGTGATAAGGAAACTGATCTCAGAAAACCAAAATGCCTTTTTAAAAGGGAGACAGATTTCAGATGCTGCTTTGGTAGCTAATGATGCATCGACCATCATCTTAGAAAAGGAAAGGTTGGAGTGGTATGTAAACTAGATTTGGAGAAGGCCTATGATCATGTTAACAGGAATTGTTTGTTGAATTTGTTGCAGTTGATGAATTTTGGGAATAAATGGATAGAGTGGATCAAGTCATGCATCTCTACTGCCAGGTTCTTGGTGTGGATTAATGGCAGTCCTAAGGGTTACTTCAAGTCACAGAGGGGCTTAAGGCAAGGAGATGCCCTGTCTCCATATTTGTTTGTAATTGTGATGGAAATTCTTAGTCTAATGATCAAAAGAGCGGAAAGTTTGGGGTGGATTAAAGGTTTTAAGATTGAAGGAAGAAACAATACGGAGATAGTCATCTCACTCATATTATATGCTGATGACACTTTGATTCTTTGTGAAGCAGATAGAGAGCAACTTCTTCTTCTTCGGGGGATTTGCTAGCTTTTGAGGCAGTTTCTGGCCTAAAAGTGAATCTGGCAAAAAGTTGCATATACAATGTTAATGCAGATAGCTCTATAAATGAATTGGCAGAACTAATGGGATGTAATATTGAGGAGTTCCCTACTATTTATTTAGGGCTTCCTTTAATTAATAGCGTGCTAGATGGAATACCTACTTATTTGATGTCCCTTTTTCCCATCCCTGGCAGTGTAGAAAAGAAGTTGAATTCCATGAGAAGCAAGTTCCTCTGGGAAGGGAATTCTGAAAAGAAAAAAGTTCACCTGGTGAAGTGGCAGGAGGTTATTAAAGATAAAGAAGTTGGTGGCTTGGGAGTGAAAAATTTGAAACTTCACAATAAAAGTCTGTTGTGCAAATGCTTGTGGAGATACAATGACAATAGAGAGGAGTTATGGAAACAATTAGTCGACACTAGATATGGTAGAAATGAGGTCTGGACACCTGGTGCAATTTCTGTGCCTTCACGAATTGGAGTATGGACGCAAATAATCAAGTTGTGGCCTGAATTTCAGAAGTTCATTGCATTGAAAGTTGGTGATGGTAACAGAATCAGGTCCTGGACAGACGTTTGGCGGGGAGAAGAGAAGCTGATGAATAGATTCCCTACAATGTAAATTGTACAATAGCAGACTGTTATACTGGGTAGGAGTGGAAATTTAATTTCAGAAGAAACTTCAATGATTGGGAGGTTGATGAAATTGGTCAGCTTTTATATTTTTTTGGAACCTGTGATCCTCGATGTTAACAGCATGGATTCCCAAATTTGGATTGATGGTAAGGATGGCAGATTTTCAGTAAAGAGTTGCTATAAACTACTGCAGAAGCAAATAGGCCACTGGGATTTAAATTGGCCATGGAAAATGTTGTGGAGGTCTTTAGCACCTCTTAAAGTTGCTTGTTTTGGATGGATTGTAGCTAGGCAGGCATGTTTAACTCAAGAGATGTTACAGAGAAGAGGAGTACCTTTGTGCAGCAGACTTTTTTTTTGTGAAAGGTCCCAAGAATCGTTGGAACATCTTTTTTTGCATTGTAGCCAAATACAACAAATTTGGAATCTTTTTCTGAACATGAGTGGAGTTCATTGAGTGATGCCAAGGAATGTGAAAGACCTACTGCTATGTTGGCAATACCAGAAAGTCAGGAAAAATCTGGAAGACTATACCCCTCCGCATCTTTTGGACCATTTGGTTGGAACGGAATAAGAGACGTTTTGAGAATCAAAGAAATCACCTAGCTTTTGTAAAGAATAGTTGCCTTCAAAATTTGTATTTCTGGTGTAAAGGAAATATAGTTGAAAACTTAGATCAGTTTATAGATTTTATAGGTGTTTTGGGAATGTAACTGATGCAACTATGCCGTAACTTGTATTTTTTTGGGTACCTTCTTGGTACTCCTTTAATGAAACCTTTACCTTATCAAAAAAATAAAAAAAAGATACCAAAATAGTGTTGAAGTTAAATTGGCTATTGGTTAGACACCAGGAGCACAAATGAAATTCTTCAATAATTAAGAAGCTAAATTCGCTATTATTGTTGAAATGTGTGCACCACCTTATCTAAGAGTTTATGGTGTTAAAGAAGGCACACTTTATTTGTTTACCTCTACAACTATTTTCCCTAGCAAAGAGAGCTATACAAAGATGTTCTCTGGAATGCTCATCCATGCAATCAACTATACATCAAAAGTCATCCAATCATTTATACAAAATTGAAGCTCAAGTTACCAGTTCTGGAGTATTTTGCTTTATCTT